GCATGAGGGTGAGTAATTAATGACAGAATTTTCATTTTTGGATGAACTAACCCTTTAAAGGCACAATATGTAAAATTTTTTTATTAAAATATCCAAAAACCACAAGAACAGTGTTATATATTTTGCTTGTGTACTTACATTATCCCAAATGTTTCGAAGAATGTTTAAATCTAGAGAAATAAGCAATTTTAACTAGTGACACAGACCGTGTTTATAGTGTCATTGTGTCACCAGCCAATGACGTCATAACCCCTCGATTTCCGGTTTTGTTTTGTAGAAAACATGGAAACACCAAAGACGCTTTAATATGTTGTGCGTTTTAATAGACCGGTGACAACCGCACAGAGTAGCATTATAACAGAACTTTCAAATGTATCCAGTAGCTGCTTTTTTTCCCCACATATGCACGACCGGAAGGAGCGGAAGCAGTCTGTGGTATAATAAAAGCTCTGCTGCTTTGAGCCGTGTGTCACCTCGTTCAGCGGCCTCGTTTCGCTTCGACGGCTTTCAGCCTCACCCTGCTTCATTCTACTACTTTAATAAATCATTAGCTCATCCATGAACATGATTTCTGCAGGAGTCCCGTCGGATTGCATCAGCTGTGGGGATGAAGACCACAACTCCCATGATTCCACACTCAGTCACAGAGTCATCAAACTACGCCTTTGTCTATTTGTTTATTTTGAATACACGCCCTCTAGCGGCGAAACTTACATATTGTGCCTTTAACTATCCTGCATATATTTTCTTATTATCCTGAGTCAATCTTTTATAAGGGTCTTTATCCAAAAAAGACCACCCAACGTGGGGCTCGCACCCACGACCCTGAGATTAAGAGTCTCATGCTCTATGGACTGAGCTAGCCAGGCTACATGCTAATTGTTTTATGCTAACGTTTTATGCTAATGCTAACATTGTTTTCCATGTTTTTTCTATTGACAAAAGGACCACAGGGACCAGTTGCATAGCCACTATGTTATAACTGTGTCTTAAGAACTAGTTTGACCAACTAGCAGTTAGCCAAAAGATAAACAGTCTCACTTTTCTGATTAAAATTGGGCCAATCTACATGTTTGTAACTGACTTTTAAACAGTTATGACCAGTCTAGAAGAAAACAAGTTATATGGCTAACGTTTTAAGACTAGTCTAAGCAGTTTATGCAACCGCAGACATAATAAATAGGTATTTATTATGTCTATGTATGCAACCGGCCCCTGGCATATTTACTCCAAGACCAACCAGCAGTTACTCCAGAACATGTATAGTTCGAATTAAAGAACACATTTGCGAGAGAAACACAGTGACAAAACGCAAATTACACAAGTCAAGGGTTTCAGACGCAAACTGGAAATAGTTTATTAACGTTACATTTTTTTTCTCCAGAAAAAGACTTAACTTAAATGCATATGCTCTTATTTTACTATAAGTATTCTATGACGAAAATAGTGAGATCAATGTGAAATTCAGAGCAGGTAAAAGATAACAGAATATTTCGATAATGAATACAATGTAGAAAAATTACCATGTTTTTTTATTGTAGAAACTATACATTTTAAGTACGTACAATTTAATTAATAACCAATCTGTAAAAAACGTTGTTATTAGTGTTATGGTTATTATTCAAAAAGGTCATATTACTGTATACTGTATTCATAACACATGGCGGCATCTGTCTCTGTGGCGCAATCGGTTAGCGCGTTCGGCTGTTAACCGAAAGGTTGGTGGTTCGAGCCCACCCAGGGACGAAAGTTACTTTTTCAAATGAATGATGATTATTCCTGAATATATGGACATCAAAGTATAGCACGACAGAGAGGAGAAATAAGCCTAGCGGTGGCCAGTGCCTAGTACCTACTACGTTTTACATTTTATAATTTACTTTAAACTATTTAGTATATTCTCATTATTCTATTTTGATTTTAAAATATTAAATAGTAGTTATTTTTACAGCAATGTTGTCTGAAGTCAAATATGCTACTACATTAAATTCTGTGGAAATCAGGTTCAGCTCAATAGCTGACCGAAGTGATTTCTTGGCATTACATGACTGCTCCCTAGTGGAGGATATAAAATATGTCCTTAAAAGGACAGTTCACCCAAAAAGAAAAGTTCTTTCATCATTTACGTCATCGCACCAAACCTGTATGGCTTAATAGCTTTAGTTTAAAACGTTGTTAGGCTACTTGTCGCAGGTCTATTTTTTAAAAATTCAAATCCGTGCTCTTTGCCAGATGAGAACACAATTAGTAAATGCTGGAGGAATCATCTTCCTGTTTGCAGTTTTCCAAGAAATAAGTGGGAGAGTTATTATTATTTAACATCACGTGTGGCCGCGAGGATTTGCTTGTTAAAGGCAGGGTATGTGATTTTTCAAAAACACTTTAGAAAACTGATTCGGGCCGAATAGCAAAACAAACTTGTAGCCAATCAGCAATAAGGGGCGTGTCTACTCGTGATGTGGAGGAGAGAGCGTTCAGTGCATGGGACAGACATTAGCGAGCCGAGCGACAGAAAGATAGAGATGGCGGATAAAAAAACAAAAGAGGAAAACGTCTGCGGAACGATAAGACAAGAAGTAGGACCCGTGTAAATATCGGATCAGCTTTCCAGCGCTGGAGAGAACTCAAGGAGCGGAGGCCTGCGATCGGACGCCGAGGTTGCTTTGTTTCTTCTCAAGAGGTGCATAACACCGTGTCTACAACAGCTAAAGTCTGACTACACTGGACGCGATCAAACGACCGTTGAAAACCATTTGAAATTTGTGTCAGCACGTCATAAATAGAACCCGGCAGCAGTTTTCTGTCGGGATTTGTTGCGCCGCGCCGCGCCGCTCACGTCCGTAGACAAGGTGTAACATTGGTTTTGCTTTGTTTCACAGAACTAATCGATGCCTGGGTTGCATACATATATGTGGGGCGGAGCTATCAAAATAGGGGCAAGACCCTTTTGGGGTAGGGCCGTGTTTGTTTTGGTGATTTCAAATATAAACATTGACTACCAGAAATCCCTTACTCTGCCTTTAAAACCCTATGACTAATTTCAGCGTCTCATTAAACTCTCCACAAGAGTTCTGTTGACACTGTTTGGACAAGAGACAACAGCCCAATTACACACACACACACACACACAATAGCGATTGATGTGATTGACATTGTTGATGCACACATGAGAAATAAACAGTTTTATGAGGAAATATATTAGTTATTTATTTAAATAGGTGTACACCCTATCTTTAAAAATTTTAACTATATTTGGCAATTTATCTATAAAGAAAAGTGTTAAAAAAATAGAAAAATTCAATATTTTGTTCAGTAAAAATATTGGCATTGTTAAACAGGTAGGCTATAAATATTAAAATGACGTGGACATATTCCACTATGTAATTTCAACAAAACAGTAGATTTTGCTCTTTGGGGAGCTTGAGGTTAAAGTGTGCTCGTGTGCACTGAGGTCATTAGTAGGCAGGATTGATGGGTTGCAGAGGCTGGTTGAAGGCCTGCGGCTGCTGGTGAACCCGGTTGAC